ATACAATAAATACAATAAATACAATAAATACATAAATAAATAAATGCATATGAGAACTGGGAGACTTGCTAGATTTCAATCATTAAATTAAATGCTGTAGTGAACTGATGATTCTGTAGTGATCTGCATAAAGAAACAGGTTGGGAACCACTCTCTTAAAGCATTTAAAGCCGTTTTTAAATAGAATGTATTTACATGTATTAACAAGATTATCCTAAGCAGAAATCAGCTAGTTCCAAAGAAATTGAGAACCAGAGCACAGAATAGGTGGAAGCAACCTTTTCCAGCCTGGGATAACACTTCAACTTTGTGCTCTGCCTATGGGCTGCAAAGGGTAGGATGGATAATAACGTGGTGCCACCCAAATAGGCAGGGCCAACGCATTTGGCTTGCTCTGAGTAGAGGATTATAAGGGGTGAAATGAATGATTTAAGCCACAATGGAATAAGGTATGACCTTGCTCTTCAGGATCCACCAAAACAGGAAAATTGCCCTAATTCAGAGGGAAATTGGTGGGTTTTAAGGGTTGAATTTTTGTTGAGATCAGGGAGGCTAAGGGTAATGTTGTCCCTTAAACTCTCCCACACAGAATACACAAAAACGTCCTGAAAATTTGGCCGGGACCACTCTGGGAGCTGCAAAAGGGATGTTTGCAGAGGCACTGACCTGTGGGGAGGTCAAGGGAAACAAATGACAAAAGCAATTCTGTGCCATCATGACACAAGCCCCACCCCTTTTGTACATAGTTATGATGTCATTGCCACCAAACAAAGGGGCAGAGCTTGTATCACAACAGCATGATGCTGCTTTGGTCATTCGAATGAAAGCATTGCATCCTGTGGATGCTCGTGCATTTTTGGAGGCTGCATGTGTCTCAGGGCTCCGCACATCTGGTAGGCATGAGAATTGTAGCAATATTGCTCTTGTAATTCTTTATGTCCCTGCAGGCCCCTTTTAGGCTTTAGAGCTGATATCAAAATGACTTTAGCTGCTGTTTTCCCAAAGCAACATTCTGTGCTGGTTGCCATTTTTCTAGTGTGTGACTGTAGTGCGATTTTAATGGGAAAACCTAGTTTGAAGGGTAGAACAGAGAGACAGACAGATGGTTAGATAAGTTCTTTAGGCCAGTTTCCTCCAATAGAGCTTCCAAGTTTTTATTTTGGTTCTTTTCATCAATGGGACCCAATAGCTGACCAAAGCTCTTGAAATCGTTCCCTTTAGACCCTCATCAGTTTATCACGAGTGCTGGAGCCAGAGGAAATCTAGAACTCATAAAATATATTACCGCAAATACCCAGCTCTCCTGTCCTTACATACAGGAAAGGACCAACAGCACTGTGGTTATTCTAGCACTGTGGTTATTTGACTGGAAGGCCATGAGAAAAGGGATAAATTGAAAATAAAGTGTTAACACAACTTTGGTTGAGTTGCATATAATAACATCAGGGTTATTATATCATGAACAAAATAATGGATTTTTGATAAGGCTTGTTTTGAGAATATGCATGGATATTGCAGACATTTATTTTTTAAAAAAAGCATGCAGTGGTCTGTGCAAAAAATCATGTTGTAATCTTTGCTTATGTGAGTATAAAGAGAATCTGCTGTTAGCCATTCTAGGAGATAAAATTTTGTGATGGGTGGGAGACATCTTTGCACTCATTCTGGAGTTAAAGCCTGTCCATCTGTTTATTCTCCCTCAAAACAGATGTGACCAACAGCCTTAGCTATAGATTGCACTACATATATGCTGTTGAGATTGTATATGGTATAGTGCAGTGCAAATAGCATTTATTTCTTCTATAGTGTTGCAAATGAAAGAGTCCAGCAGTGCACAACATAATCTACAAAAGTAAAACATCCACAGTAGAATAAATAAAGCATCTGTGGTAAAGAGTAATAAATAATCAGCAAAATAAAATCAACATCCATTCTTCAAAAGAACCAGAGTAACGTACAACAATCTATTCACATTTAGTTAAGCTAAAGTGAAAAGACCCTCAGGAAGGCCTCCATCTCAATCGGCTTCTGCAAGGCAATCAATATCAGGACAAGTCTGACCTCTAAGAGAAAGCCAGTCCATAGCACAGGGCCATGGTGGGAAAACATCACCTCCCACCCCACAAGTTGATGGAACTGAGGGGTTTCCAGCATCTTTTTCCAGGATGTGCGTATTGAAACCATCACTTCATTCAGTTAATTGACTTAAGGATTTCCTCTCTTCAGGCCAGTGCTAAGCCTCTTACCTTGATTTCAATCACATCGCTTGTGTGGGATTTTGGTCACCTAATGCGAAGAGAGATCTCTTTGGAGAAGACCCTGATGCTGGGAAAGATTGAAGG